TATTTTAAAATGGTATAAAACTGAGTAGGAAGTACTAGGAAAACCAAGTTTTATAATCTCCACTAAAAACTTAATCAGCTTGTCTAACAATTTTCTGTTTTCTCAGTGCTTTAAAACAACTCGTTTCCAAGAAAACCATATTAATCTCTTCTATTTAATTGAACTGGATTTATATATTTAATTAATGGTTACCAGAGCTACTAAGTACTGGAATGATGTAGTGGCTGTATAATTTTAACTGTTTCACTGTTTTCACTTCCTGTTGTACAGTTGAAAATTACTGTTAAGATCCTCTCAGGGCTTGAAGCAAAGAATAGGAAAACGTGATGGTTGAAGGGACTATCACTTATCTTCAATTAGCCCCTTACATGAAAGGAGAGGAGCTGAAAGGAAGGCATGGCTAAAAAAAAATCATAATAAGGGTCATGCGTAAAACTGTTAGAACTAAAGCATCTGAGATCTGAAGATCTCAGAGCGGTTAAAATAAGAACAAACTCTGTTGGTCAGATCTTGGAGATTTGACCACTTAATGATGTGCATTGCATATCTAGCATGCAGGCGTGTGGTTAAGCTGTGTGAAGAAGAGGTAGTCTAGCCTCTGGACTACCTTCTCTGAGCTTATGGGATCACACTATCAATCTCTTCCTTCAGCTTGTGTAAGTAAAAACAAAGGTGAATGAACATACGTCATCTGTTCCCTTTGGAAAGGGAAAAAATTCAAGCAAATTTTCTCGGGTTTATTTTTGACCCAACCATTCTTTTTCATAAGACAACAGAAAAGAAGCTGTGGACAGTATTCCCATTAGCCGTATCTGCAAACAGTTCTGAATTCTAGTGCTCGCTATGATTTCTCTTGCCACTACACATGTAATGTTCCTTTGATGTTTCCAGAATTGTGCTGATCAAAGAAACTGCAAGCTGATTCCCTGGAGAAATGGAAATATAAACCACCTGGTAATTCTGACTTCTAGAAGAAAGACAGAAAACTAATAGAATTGTATGATGAATTAAAACATAAGTAAGTGAGCAGGAGGCAAATTTAATCTTCAGGTTTAAGAAGTAATCATAATCAATGGGTTGTAATAAAGTAAACACTACACTAAGCCACTTAAATAGTGTATTGTCAACTGAGTTCATTTGGCGTTGATGTTTTCTTAATAGTATTATAAACATTTATTTAACCCTGGGTCAGATTTACAGCTATAATTTACCATCTGTGATCATTCAGATATATATAAAATGGATGTAAAACATCATCTGATGTCTTTTCATCTCACTTCTCAGTAAAGCAACACCATGAGGTGTGGAGTAATGGCACAGAGGAGCTTGTAATGTATAGTAGCAATTCTTGCAGCAGTAGTGTCAGTTAACTTCTCCCTCAGCACTCACATGATGCTATTACAATTCCCTTGGTTATTAAAAAGTCTCCTTGTTGCATAGTGTGTCTCTGTGTCCATCAGGGAGCAAACAAAAGTGACAAATATTAATGCAGTGAATCTCATGTTTCCTAGAAGAGGTTCTCAAGGGACAAAAAACATACTGCAGTTATAGTGTCATTTGGACATGTCAGGAGTATCTGTTCTTATGTTGCCCTTCCAATGACATTGGGGGAGATTAAACTCATTTTAAAAACAAGCCTCTATAAAATGTTGAGCCCTGCTGTTCTCTGAAGAAGAGCATGATTATCTGTCATTCATTCTGTCTTGAGAGGTAAGAGATGGAAAACTGCTATAAGAGGACAGCTGAGATGTAAATTGAAGTTCAGGGCAGGAAAACCAATTCAAAGTGCAACATACAGTTCAGCAGTATAGAAACATTTCCTTTCCATGAATCCTGTTTTCCTTTCAATACAAAATACTACAGTTTTATTTTTATAAAGCTGCTATACAATTTCTAGCCTTTTGCCTTTCTATTTGATAAAGCAGAAGTATTCACAAATCCTCTGGTACTGGAAGGAAGAATTAATCTTTAGCAGAGTAGAGGACAGAATTGGAATTGCTGCACTATTTGGCCAGATTTATGTCTAGGATTATGGGGAAGCACCAGCTGCAAAATTTTTAATATACTGCACTTTTGATAAGTTAAACATCACCATCTTTATAAGGCAGGAAAACATTCTTATTTTATGGCTTATGACTTCAGAGATGTGCATAGAGAGGAGTTAACCACATGGCCAAGGGCACTCAGTAGCTTCAAAATTGTACCAGGAATGTAGCTGCATTTACTCCTATTCCCTTGTCTGTGTGTTAAGCACAAACTCTTCCCTCCTTTGCATTGCTGTGTATGCCTATGAGACATCATTTATTAGCTACTGCCAGGTCTACAATGTTTCAGTAGAGGTACCTACAAGTGCTTTAGAATAGTTAGTGCCATGTATGGTCCTACATGTCTGTCGCTAAGTCCTAGCTCCTGCCTCACTTGAGTTGCTGCCCTATAAACCCACGCTAAATTGAAAGTCCCTCCATGCATACTTATTACTAAAAACTAAATGCATGGGAAGTGTTCCTTTTAAAGACCTCTCCTTAAAGGAAATTTTATGGATATGTTTGTTCTGTTCCCCTTCCACACACACATTATTGCAGAAAAAGAAAAGATACAATATTTCTCCTTTACAGTAGTGGTTTACTAGCTTCACCTGGTTTTTCAGCTCTGCTTGTGACATGACTAAAGGCAGCTCTGGTTTTTACTATGACAACTTCTCAGTGACCTTCCCAATCCTTTAAAGTTAAGTCCTTGATTTTTCTAAGAGCAACGCTTGTTTAGGTCTTTGCTTTTCTTTTTCACACTGCAGACTTATCCAGCATGACTACCTACTGCACTCAGAGGTTTAGTTAAAAAAGAAAATGAAAATGTACTCACGCTACTGGGGTATAAGAGTGGCAGAGGAAGCAGCAGAAGTGGAATGAGAACAACGAGCAAGAGATTTCTGGATCGGAGAATCTCCTTCATCATTGCCATATTCTTTTACTTTCTGGTGGCTTTCTTGTCCTTGGGTTTCTTCTCTGATTCCTCAGATACTCCAACTTCCACTCCACGTTTTCCTTCACCTGTGCATGGATTACCCTGAATGGTGTCTCACTGCCTCATTTCCTATCCCCACCCAACCACCTAAAATATTTTTCTTAAATTTGTTGTTTTGAAAAGATTTTTCAATTAAAAAGACATTCAGTTTATGTAGGGCTCACCAGCAGATCCAAATTATTTTCACACCATAGCATGCAGAGGCTTGCAAGTTGGAGCATAGTGATCTTCTGACAATTTTTCTTTTTAATTCAAAATGAAGGGTATAGCTGTGTTGAATCCTTATCCCCATGTTTTGGAAAGTTTTTTTCTTCCATCATCTAGCAGTGCAATTCCTGTTTTCATAAACCAGGGAAGATATGTTTTGGGCTGCTTTTCCTCCTGTTTGGTAGTCTGAATGTCTGAAATAACAGGTTTCTCTTCTGCTAGAAAATTAACAAAACCTACAATTTATTGCACAGACGCAAATATACAAGTATTCTTTCTGAAAAATAAAAAAAATAAAAATTAAACCATCTGCAACTTCTCCAGGTTTTGTCTCTTTGCTATAGTTTTGGCTTCTACTTTGCATCTACCTTTACCCTACTTTTGCCTTGAGCTTAGAATTCACAGCGTAGCAATTCCAATACAGATTATACTTGGTCGCAAGACAAAAACTTGTTAAAAAGCTTCATTCAACTCTAACTCACCAATGAGGACTGTAGAAGGTAGTAGTTGCTCCACCCATTATCCAAACGCCAGTAAGAACTTTTGAGAAAATCAGCAGCCTCCTCTTTCTGACATGCACACAAACGTACAAAAAGACCTTTTCTAAGATGCTGAACAGTTTGTTATTGTTTCAAGATGCCAGTACTGATGAGAAATAAATAATCATTGTTTTCTAAACAGTATCTTTTGTCTTTCATGTTTCTTTCATCCTGATCCATGAACGTCACTTATTCATAAGGCATGGGCTAATCTCTGTACTGATTCATGTGCCTTCAGTAACCATAGGATTCAGACTCAAATTGAGGATTTTTAGGCCTTTTACTCTAGTCTTCTAGTGGAGAAGCATTTCTACAACTCTGCCATTATTAATGCTTTTTGTGGGGCAGAAAGTACTGAATCCATTGGCTGGTTGAATGCAGGACCTGTAGAGAAGTATCCATTTGTCCTGTATCTCATAGAAAGCCACGCAGCTGAGATTTTCCACACTCTCAAACCTTGCTTGCCTGTCTACTACTCACACTTCGCTAGTCAGACACAAACTGAGCTCCCCAGATTGAACTGAAATGACTCTGTGACAGAGACTTGGAGAGCTGGCAGACAGACCTGCAGAGGAGTTTGATGTGCAGGGTACATTCTTCCTGGAATTAGTAATTATATCTAAGATTGTGTTATGTTTCTAAACCTTGAAACTTCTGTCAAGCAACAGAAACTTTAGACATTTGACGCAAAATTAGCAATTAGTTCTGGAAATAAATATATAGTTAATGTGAAAATTTGGAGTTGACCAATACCAGGTAGGGAATTCATATCTGTTTGTCAGTTGTTTTTTTTTTTTTTAAATCTGTGCTTTGTTTCACTTTTTTATGATCTGTAAGGTCAAAGGGTGGATAAAAGGTTCCACCTAGAGGCAATGGCTATTTACCCTCTGAGCGACTATCTACATACATGACTCAGTCTGAAGTGATGAGATGCAATCTGAGTTGGGGAGCAGGCAACTTATGCTTGTATCTTGAGCAATTCTGAGGGAGGGAAGCTGACCTAAGTCCGAAAAGCTTCCCTGAGACAAACTTCTCCTTCCCACTTGAACTCTGGAAAACAAAGCGTACTAATTCCTATTTATTACCTCCTCCTGCCCATCAAAGGGAAGACTGTTCCTTCTTCTCTCATACCATTACCCCCATGAAGAGTTTCAGTCTGAGATAGCCAATTGCACAAGCTGGAAGTTACTAAATAGTAAACCTGACACTGGAATCAATACAATGCAAAGCCAATTAGTTTTATGTAGAATATTTTTATTATTACATTGATAGTCTCTGTTAAATTAACTTGGGCACTCCTAGCACATACCCAAGGAATAAATCTTTTTTACATTACACACAGTAATGGCAAGAGGGACACAAACTCAGAAAAATTTTATTTTCTATTGAGGAGATAAAAATTTCAATTACCAGTTTGAAAGGTATGTATGCTATAGGGAATATTTGGATATTCAAAATTATCTATAATTCTTTTCTATGAGATACTTGCTGATGAGTAAATTCTGACCACTTGACAGTCTTCCTATGCAGTGGGAAGCATGGTGGGATGTATTTCTCTGGATAGTAACTGCTAGCATGCTTGCTGTGGTGCTCACTCTTGTTATCTTTGCAGACTTGGAACCACTGGCTGTAAGAGATTTATGAATCTCTCTGGTTCCAGGCACTTCCAGCGAGCGGTGCTTCAGGGAGCCAAGAAACAGAGCTGGAAAGGCAGGAGTACACTTTAAAGCATTTCCCCTCCATGTGTTTATAAAGCATGGTATGGGAAGAAAACACAAACACATGATCAGTGTTAATTCTCAAGGCTTAAAAAGCATGTGGGCTGTAGCGCAAGGCTGCTTTGTGGGCCCTGAGCTGTGTGCGCAAGCAGAGGAGATGGGGATGCTTCGGGCTCATAGCTTTGTGGTTGAGGTTTTCAGTTTTCTTTGCCATATACCAGCCAGGCTTTGAAGATGGCCAACAAACATCTTCAGGTATGAAAGCGCACCTACACATAAGTGCATCTAAATGCAAATCTGTACAGTCATGCATACACATACAGAAACTGCTTGGAGAAACAGGACTGACTGTCTTTTATAAGCCCTTTGTCCAGCTGCCTGTCCCTAAGGCTGCTGTGGATCCACATTCCCATGGGTAATTGCCAAACCCAAAGGCTGCTGTGGATCCACATTCCCATGGGTAATTGCCAAACCCAGTGTGCTCTGGCTGCTGTTTGCTGCAACAAGGCGGTGCTGGATGGAGTTTTTCAGCTTCGGTCCTTGGAGTATCCCTGTTAAGGGACACAGAAGGGTTCATTCCTTTCGGTCTGGTGATGCAAAAGCAGTTAAATGTGATTCAGAACAGGGGCTGGAATCCTGAGTTCATTTCTACAGCTGCAGTGATTTGTGATTTTATGCTTAAAATATCATGCAGATAGAGAAATAGGGAGTGCTGGTATGAAAGGACGAAATAAATGTTCAGCTGTTTTCCCATGCTCTGGAAGTAGAAGAACCTCTAATATCAATAGAGAAACAGTCTGTGTAATTTGATCATAAAATGTAGGGGATTTGCTTTAGAATAGTTTGCATTTTTTGACTGTAGTCATCTGTCTGACAAGATTTACTTTCTTTTTCTGTCCATTTTCTGTCCATGATTTTTTATAGTTCATAATACTTAGTTGCACTATTTTTACAAACAGTTTTTGCTGCTGAAACAAGTACTGTTTCTCCACTGCTCTCAGACTCATAATTCCCACCACTGGACCGATGAACGTCTTTTCTGCTAAGTGACTGGATATAATTGTTCTGGGACTGAACAATTTAGGATTCTCCATGTACTCATCACTTACATGCACACCTATGCATCGACATATACACACATATACACACAAGTAAATATATAATTTACTACCAAAAATGAGCCACACTGCTAAATTCAGCACCATGTTTTAATGCACCTTCCTCCCTTGCCTCAGGAGTGTTCTGAAGCGTGGGTTTAGATGAGCTACGTTCAAGTGATAGAACCAGGAAAAATGTGTCATCATTAAATTAAACAGGGCCTTTGACTCTGCTGAGGACATGTTCCCTTCAAAAAACAAGCAGCAGAAGCAAAGTCATGTGCAAATAATGAAAGAATCATTGCAGACTGTTTGGGAGGGCTAGGAAGCAAAGAGCATGTTCACAGGCACTGTTTGCTGCTGGTATCCACAATGCCCTTTGTCTTCTGCAAATGTTATTGCAATTAAAAACTGGCTCAGGCAAATGAAGTGAATCAGACAGTGCTTATTTAGAAGAATATTTGGAATGAATAATATGTGGCATAATTTCTTAGACTGACAGTTATGAAACCTCTTCCTTTTTCAGAAGGCCTTTGCATGTCTTTATAATATTCTTTTTCTGGCCAGCCAAAATATGAATTTGTTTCCCTAGCTAAGAAATCAGCATTCTCCAGCTCGTATGCATAAGTATGTAAGCCTAAGTATAGTATACTTCTGTACTGCTTATAGGAAACCCACAGGATGAAACAAGGGCATGTCTGTCTGGGGCATACACTGGAATTTCTTTGCCTGTCACAGAATGTGCCTCCCAAGGCAGCACAAAAATCAAATTCCCCGGACCGAAGATAACATCATTCTCCATTTAACATGGAACTAGAAAGTGGATTCCACAAGGGGGAGCTAGAAAACAAATAATCTTGAAGCAGATTCTTAAACTCTTTACAGCATAAAGTGGTGGACGTGCTATATGTGTCCCTTATCAACCACAAGGGGTGGCTGAGTTACCGTTGCATCAAGTCTCCCCCTATGATGTGTCTTTGTTGTATGGAAACATCAAGTCGTGCTTCAGGGCTTTGTAAAGACTGACGAAGGATTCAGCCCAAGCGTCTTTCTGGTGCCCCTGGGACTGAGCAGCCCTGTAGGCTGTGTAGACCATGGTCAACACTGTCCTTTCAAAGTCTTCTTTCTTGAGGACCCTTGGGTAGGAGGACAGCATGCTACTCAGCCTGCGGATCTCTGTGATGCTCTTGGGGATAATCTCATTGCAGATGGTGTCAAATTTAGCAGCCTTCCTCAGTGAAGCAAGCTCCTCATCTTTGATGGAGATCCTCTGACTTTTGTCAATGTCAAGCTCAGCTAAGAGAAACTGGTATAAAATCAGAACAGAGAAAGCTATTTATCTTCTCCAATAGACTCTGCACAGTAAATGTGAATTAAAAACATGTCCGTAGGTCTTTACTTTAGCTCAAATAGAGACAAAACTTTCATTGCACTGGCTGGAGGTGGTGCAGAAAGACTCTATGTAAATATTAAGACTTCTGTGTTACCTACCTGGGAAAATTAGAGACAGGCTATGGGGAAAGGAGGGAGGAAAAGGAAAATCTAGGTAGCCTTCTGTTGTCCAAAACAGGCATGAGTTGCTGCTGGCGCTACATGGGTATTAGAGAGACAGCAGCAGAGCTGGGAAAGGCTGTTTACCCTGTCAGGAATAGCAGCAGCTCTCTGAGAGAGCATAGCAGTGGCTTCCCTGCCCATCTCCCCTGTCTGGACTCCAATCCCAGTTTCTCAAGGTGTGAGATAGATAGATTTGACCCATGTACCTTCTTTAGGTGGGCCACTGTTCCTTAGCTGACCATATGATACTGTAGACTGTGCATTATATCTGCAGTCTCCACTGCTGTGGAAGAGGGGACCTGAGTTATTTTGAAGTGAAACACTCATGCCCTTGGGATTACTTTGCAATGTACTCTTGGGACTAAGATTTAAACCAAAGAATTTTAATGCATTATGTTGTTAATACATAACTGTTCTGGAAGGAATTTTCTTTCAGTAGAAAGCCATTTGCTTTGTTTTTCATTTTGCCTGTCAGTGAACTAGAACCCACTAGTCTGAGGTACTGTAGGCAACTGCCACGTGCTTAAGTGCTGAAAAAGCTGAGGTTGTCATATATATGTCTATTTCTTCCCTTCTGGTGAACTGTTACATAGTCAGCAATGGGTTTACTGCAGGAATGAGTAAAAGTGCCATGAAGACAGGTAATAGATTACCCCCGTGTGTACAATAACCCCAATCTTGGTTAAGGTTTAAGGTACCATCTGCTCTAGTATACTGAACCTCATAAAGCAGGACCACATCATCCAGCGAGTTTTGTAGCACTGGGTTAAGGAAGGCAGCTGAGGACCTCTTGAATCGCTGAGCAGCTGGGAAAAGCATAGCTGGAAAATAATAATGGGAAAAGAGAGGTTCCATAGGGTGGCAAACACTGAAAAGAGGAAGTACTTTTCAACAGTAGATTCAACCAAAGAACTTCTTGTTGCAAAGATTTATTCTACACTGACTTCTCACTGTAAATAAAATGGGTGACGTGGTCTGCTTTGACTCTAATCTACTAAGGATGGAGTTTAGCTGTTTGTCCTGTATCTGTACAGTCTAATACAGAGTGATTTATAATCCAAGCCTGGGACTCTGAGGTGCAGCCATGATGTAAGCAATAACAATGATAACTGCAATATCAGCATTGCCTGGAATACATATTCTTCTCCTGGCTCTGCAAGGGGAAATTAATAATGACCCTCAACAAAGCCTTCTTTCTTCAGGCCATTCTCCTACCATCACACTTCTAAGACCCTATATTTCTACTGGTTTCAGCTGCCTAAATGTTAGTCTCTCCTTAGCTGACAAAAACAACACCTTCAGAGTAGATCACCTTATCTGTCCTGGGCATATATGTCTGGAAAGAGTGACTTACCCTTTGGAGATGCCTATCTTTATTCATTGAGCCTGTTACCAGCTTAGACAAGACAGGTACATTCAATGAGGTGAATCCCATTTATTATGACTTTAATACTTCACAGTGTTATAGCTAGAAACAACAAACTCTGTTACGATTAGGTACTTATTCACTACTGCAAAGTGTGCTACAGACACTGTTTCATGGAAATGAGACAGAAAAAATATGCATAGCTCCTAAATTCGGCATCCCAGTGAGGTAGAGCACGTGTGGAATCAGTGACCTGTACAGTCCAGAGTATAGAAAACATCTAATTCTATATTACAGATCATGAATGTGCCAAGCAAAAAAACAGACATATTGAAAAGGACTTGGTCTCTGCAGTAACCTTTCTCCAGCACGATGCCTTTAACACCCAACTATCTTGTCTGGCACAGCTGAGGAGGTGCTGAGTTTGGGAAAGGTCACAAGCTGCCTGCAGGTTCTACTCTGCAAGAATGTTTGTCTGGCTGACCACTGGCAACTGGGCTATACTCATTTTCTGCTGCTACTCAATCTCTGATGTTCACCCCGTTTGCTCAATTTTGCTGAGACACGCTGGAGCTATTCAATCTTCTGCTCTTGGCAATTTGAGAATGATATTGAGTGCATGCAAATCACTTGAAACTTCAAACACTAATTGCTGAGTAATTAAAACTTTTATTACTGGGCAATTAAAACTCTAATTGCTAAGCAGCTGGCAGAAATCCAGTCCATAATGATGACAATTCATTTTTATCTCTTTTAGATCCTCTTTCAGTGAAAAGAGCCTTTACATATGCAGATGGTTTACACCTCAAATATACTTTGAGTCATGGAAAAGGTGCCTGTGGCATCTTCCTTCAGTGCTCTCCTGCTTATTGTCACCACACCAATCACTTTTCGCTTTCAAGCCAGGTGCAGATTCCTACCATGGAGCTGAGCTGGGAGTCAGTCATCAGATTCAGCCCATCACCACTCAGCCAGAAAAACCCCGGTGAAGGACTCCCACAAAAATGAATACCATATTAGCAATTTAGTACTGACCCACTTGCTGAATCATAGAATCTCAGAAAGCAGCTGAGTTTTCCTACCCAGGTGTTCCCACTATAATATGGATTAGGTTAGAAGATTCAAAGAGACAAGAGTGTGAGCTGCTATATTGTGAGAAAGGACTTTGTATGCATATCAGAAGCATGCCATCTTCTGCAGGGACCAGACTAGCACTGACTCCCTGATCTCATTATCTTGTTCCCAAAACATATCAAACTTTGTTACAGTCCTTGGAGAATCTACTCAGAAACTCTTTCAGAGCTCATTTGTTTTTGTCACGATGATCTGATTTTCCTGATCTATGTTTTACTTCATTCCTTTCCTCTCTCTCTTTTTTCTTCACAACAGTCAAATGCTTCCACCATCGTTCCCTACACAATCCTTTCCATAAATTTACAAGCTCCTCTGAGGCTGTGCAAGTATTCAGAGTAAGCATTCTCTGATTTTCATTACACTTACTTAACACACATGTAAATTCGGCACAAAAGCTGAGACAGAGAAAGATTTGAAGCCAGTTTCTGCATTTAGGGATTGCAAATTCTACTTGAAGCTTCTCTGCTGGCTTTATTTCTTCCTGCAGTTACTTCCATATCTGACATGAGTTAGCTGTGCACTATCAAAGAACAGCAAAAGACTAATGCTATGACTTACCCTCTCTTTACTATTTTCTTCCCTAATGGAGTTCCATGTAAAGCTACCAAGCAGATCTTCCATAGGAAGATGCAGAGCAATGTGCGTCACTTTATGTTGATGTTGCAGCTAATTCATTTCAATGACAGTAGCAGTGAATGTCTGAGCAGAGATCAGTATTAGCAAGAGAAAGCCCAACCCAGTGATCTCTGAAGTCAGTGAAGAGACTCCTAGTGATTTATTGGTTTTACTTCTCTTACAAATGTGTCAAGACATCTCAATGGGGATGTGGCTGCTTATGTCCTGAGGGCTGAACAGTCAGATAATAAAAAAGCTTATGATTGACAGAGATGAAGGAAGAAAAATAAGGGATTTTTATTATCCTTACTGAAAACATTTTCTATTGTGTATCTATGTATCCTTTCTTCAGAGGGGCCTTAGGAGAGCTCTCTGATCTGACTTCCCTTGTGCCCATTGAGGTCTCAGGGCTGGAGGTGGATGGGAATGGTGGTCTGGGCACAGACATGTGCTCCCAGCCTACCTGCCCAGCTCTGAACAGCCTTATCCTATGCCCTGGAGTACATCACTGTTTGTGCTTGAAGACAGCGAGCAGCAACAAGTCTACTCCTAAGGGTGGTTAAAACTGCCTGTCAAAATGTGGTGCAGGAGCCCCTGTTTTCTGCACTGCTCACTGCAGGAACCTATCCAGTCTCCCACAGCTCTGTTGACCCAAATCCACCTCTCCTTCAGGGCTACCCAGGTTTTTAAACAAAAGCTGCAGCTGTGTTTGCCAACTCATTGGCCTGCTTCTAACTATTTAGCTCATGACAGCTTAGAAATTTCTTTACAGTTTAAGCATACTGAGGCTGACAATAGTTTATTTTAAAGATGCTTTCATCTGTCTTAAGAACCATGCCAGAATTTTCTGTACCTCATTAACCTCGTAATAAACATTAACAATGGTCTCAGGTTTTCCATGTAGTTTTACTGGTGATGTTACAGATGTTTAGTTTTGCTTTCCAGTTCACCATTTCCCAGCTGCTGCCTGTGATGTGTTTGCTCAATAAGTATAGAGCATAGTTGCAGGAGTGTTCAATTATTTGTGCACCATCAATGCCCCTTTTTTCTATGAAAAGGTATGAAGCCAAAAGCATGAATCAGGCCAATTGCTCCAAAGCACATACAGCTCTCCAGGGCTCCATGAACACAGATTAACTGAGGTCACAGCTCAGTAGGAATTATTTTTATTTACTTCAGAGGCATGGAAAAGGGCTATCTCATTGCTTCAGTGGGACCCTTTTTATGAAGGATGGAAGGAGCAGAGGAACAAGAAGGACTTGTGGGCCAAAAACTCCTGTCTCCCTGCAAGCAAAGCAAAGGGGAGTTGCCTGTTGATGTGGCGAAAGGCAGTGGCCCAGCTGGAGTGGTCCTATAAGCCAAATTCAGTCAGCAAGCTGCCAATTGTGTCCTCCTGTCTTAGATTACTAGGATCTGACTCAAAGTAACTCATGAAAATCATTTCTATGGGTATCATGGACTTCCTGGGACCAGCCCCTATTTCTGGGAGTGCAAAGCAGGAAGCAGTTGCACAGACAGCAGCAGTTCCTGTACAGTGATAGACCTAAAAAGGAAAAGTGATGCCTCCTTTATGTCTTCACTAGCAGTTGTAACAGGGATTAGCAGCGCTCTGCAAGACCATATCCTCTCAGACCACCACAACTGTCTTTTTACTGCAAGCTCAAAAGAACCCTTTACTAGTGAGAAACAGCTACAAGCTCAGCAGTACATCCAGCTTGATCCCTCACAGCAAAAGATTCCCTTTCCTGCTCAAAGCTTTTGAAGTCCAGATTCCTAGACCTCAACAGGAAGAAGTTAATGCATCCCAAATTATAATGACAGCAAATTCTCCTTATTTGGCTTTATCTTATCGGTAAAGCAGGGAATAAAAGTGTTTACTGCAAAACAGTTGTTCAGCACTGGAGTGCATTGATGCGTGGAAACAAACATGCATACTGCCCCCTAAATGAAAGGAAAATGCAAAACTTTCTAGGTTATTGTTCATGAAGGCATGGTAAAGTATGTAAAACATATTTATACACATTTATTGGCTACTGCTGTTTTGTTCTGCCCCACAACAAGCCCAGAGAAACAAAGTATTTGAATTATGCTCCACTGGTGTGAGTTTTTCCCTAGCCTAAACATCACATAGCTAGGAAAATTAATAAAATATAAAGTATGGCCATGCTGAGGTTTTTTTCATGCGAGCTTCTGCAAGAGCCAAAAAAGACATCTCCTGGGCTAGATGCATATCCCTTTTTAAGCTTGCTGTTAGTCAGCTTGGAGCATTGCTGGTTCCACTAGTGAGCTGTAAATTTTCCGTGTGTCACCACATTTTTCTCTAACCTGCATGGAACTTGCACTAAAAGGGTCTTAGCACACCCAGAGTCTCCTCTCAAAAGATGATATTTGTTGATAACCTAATTAGAGATTTTCTCACTAGCCTTGACTTCTTTGAAAGATGAAGATGATTCTTCAAGATGAATTCAAGCATTTCCCAGAGCACATGAAATGAGCACTGTCCGCAGGGTGATTGTGTAGGCAGAAACAGCAGCCATTAAAATGCCATGCAAAAATTATGAGTGATCTAGGCTGGTTGAACCTATTCTGTTGCAGCAACTGCTGGGCAGTTCCTAGAAGTCATCGTTGCTTTGTGCCTGCAGAAGGTATTGGTACCAGAAGCAATGGTGAAACTTCAGGGTGAAGTGGTGTTGACCTATGGGAGGT